TGTGTGTGTGTGTGTGTGTGTGTGTGTGTGTGTGTGTGTGTGTTTTATTATAAAGATATCTTATTTGCATTTCAATGTAGAAACCTTACCTGCAAATAACAAGTAAAAGGACACAAAGTGCAAAATGTTATTATTCAGTTATTAGTTCTGATATCTTATAGACCTAATCTGGTACAAATATGGGTGGATACTCAGTTAAGCACTTCTTACATCTTCAGACATCAGCTAGTGAAGGTGAAAATTCCCATAACAGGTAGTCGCCAAAGTAGGATGCTCTTTCGCTATGTGAATTTGCTAGAATCTAAGCCCAGACTGCACATATGGAGCATTTCTAAGCAATAATCAGACATTTGTTTCATACTTGGCAACTCTGTCATCACTTCGTATCAAGAATTTGTCCTGCAGTGAAGCATAAAGCTCCACTCCACTTGTTTGCACTTCTTGATTATGTATTGAAGCTGGAGGGATGTCTCAGGGAATGTTTTCTATTTTCTATAGGATTTCTGATTATCACAAAAACAAGGTCATAAAAGTTTGACACGTCACTGTTTTGTTCAGACAGGCACAAATTCATCCCCTCACACTTGGCGATGGTGGGAATGAAGAACGCCCTTTTAACAGGAATCGGTCTCACAGAGGAACGATTTTTAGTGCTGACTGCAGTCACAAGAAGTAAGATTGTAGCATTTGTTTACAAACGCTACAATCGGCGGCCTATTTTGTACTGCTTTACAAAAGCTAAAGTATTTCCGGTCAGTTTCAGGCTGCCTTGTCTAAATAAAGGAGAACTGGAAAATAATCAGATGAGAATGTATTTTACAGATATTGTCACAGCAGTTATTCTGCTACTGCTAGCACCTGGAAAAGCCTGATTTAGCCTTGAACTGGCTGCAGTGCTCAAATTGGGGTGGTGTGCTCTGACATTTACTAAAATGCTCCGTCTGGCAAGTTCACCAGAGGATTCTGCCCCAGCCTTGTGTCAGCCCTGGTCACCATACTGGATTTTTAGTAGCCATGGGTCCCTCCGTCTGCTCGTGTCATTCTGTCACTTTCTCTCTTGAAGGGCTTCACATCTGTTCGCTAAGAGTTTAGGAAGCGACAGAGAGATGGAGGAGGAAAGGATGAAATGAGTCACCAGCGAGTGTATAAATGTCAAGTTGAAGGCCGAAAGCTTTTATGTTGATGGATAATGTTTCCTCCTCTCCTCTCCTCTCAGTCAAGACTATCAACATGGGATTTTCCAGTCGATCGGTTTTAAGGAGTTTCACGACTACCTGACGGCTCCGGAAAGCAGCACCCAGCAGGAGAAAGACTCTCTACGAGACAAAGGTTAGAGAAACACCTGATCAAAGTCACTCAGATGGAGTTGGATGCACTGGCTGGTGGACTGCTGATCAACCACAACAATCAGGTTTTGTTTTTTGTTTGTTTTTTTTGACCTCCCTTCATTTTGTGCTTCATCTAATGACCAGCTTGTTTTTCACTCACTCAGGTATAGAAGCTTTGAAGATTGCTACAAGGCGTTACGCCCGCAAACAGAATAAATGGGTCCGCAACCGCTTCCTCAGACGTGAGTACCCTTCACCCATGCAGTGAGTGTGTGAGTCGGGTGTGGGGGGTGTATTGGTGCTGCAGACAGATCCTTAGCAATCAGCACTCTGTACCAAGATGAGATTCGTGCACTCTATTAGAGACACAATAAGCCTCTCAGCCCACTGTACTGTGTTCCTGGGCACAGAGATGGCGTGTGCGCACGCCACCTTTTTAAAGCTTTTGTTTCAGTTATTGTTATTGCCCCTTCCAGGCAAAGACATGTTTGCGACCTGTTTTAAAGTCTTTCAGCTCCTCATCATACAGTTTTTGAACGTTTAGTAAGCTGAAAATGTATGCAACACAGCAGAGAAACCTGAGTGAACGTTAATTAATTCCACCTCAGTTGCCGTTGTTGCCTGATCGGGATATTCGACTGATATGCTGGTATATTCATAACAATTTTAATGCAAAAAGGCAAAATTAATGTTAATGTTCATCACAGTTCATCACAGTCTTCCCTCCCCAAGGAGCTGTTTTGTGGTTCCTTTCAAACAGCTGTAGAAAGGCTGACACCACTCTGACATCTTTCACAAATAAATCACATGTAAGCACAATCAACTCATTGATTTCTGTTTTAAAAAACAAAAGCCTCGATGGAAACCATAGACTGTGGCTTCAGTTTCCTTATTTGGTGAACATCTAAATCCAAGTTTTATTTTTGCAAAATGATTTTACGGTTTGAAAACATCCCGTGTAGCTCAGCAGGGAAAACCACAGCATTCATTTAATCACTGGGACAAAGTTAGATTTGATTTTATACAGCATGTGCGCACTACTGTGACGTAGTGATTGGATAATGTTTCAAGATCCATCCCCAGCGCACACCTGCAGCTAAGACCTGTGAAAGCTTCAACCCCCCGTGCTTCCAAATGCATAGAAATGAACTTCAGTGTTTGGTTACCTGCCAGAGCAGCTGCCACTGCAGAACGGACAAGACTGCCCACCGCAGCCAAAATCAACCTGAGATTGGAAAGTGGTGATTTGCCACCGTGAGTCAGTTTAAAGTGTAGAGAGTGCGTAAGAGCAGAGTGTGTAGTGCGTCTCTCTTCCCTTGAAAAGGAAACCTGGTCCCACCGGCAGCATGCCCTGCAGTAACCCTGCCTCCTAATCCTGTTAGGCCCAAGTGGCTTAAGGCCACGCCAGGCCCTAAACCTCAATACCCCTCTTTCTGACCGCCTGCCTACCCGCTGCACACGCCATATGGACTACATCACATGTGTGCACGCGTCTGTCTGTGTTGCAGCTATAATCATAGAAACATGCAGTAATCTGTCTAAGATTGTCTACTTGTGTTCACGTGTGTGCTTTTAAGTGTGTCCTGCCTTTAGACAATCCATATAACACTGCCCCCCTCTTATACACACACACACACACACACACACACACACACACACACACACACACACACACACACACACACACACACACAGAAGACCCTGCTTAGACTGTGCTCTGTCTGCTGCATCAGGCCTGAAAATGCAGGTGGCAGCAGAGGAGATTAGCTCTCCTCAAAGACCTCAACCTCCCATCCAATGAAGTCTCAGAGGAAATACTTTTGTTTTGTTAAATTTGTGGATGTTATGATCAGAACTTTGTTGGTATTTTTTTTTTTAATTTATGGAATTTATGGCAGCAGTAGTCTACTGTAGCATTTACTGAGGACTGCATTTTTGCTTGCTTTATTTATTCTTTTTGTTTCAAAGAGTTGAGTGTACAAGTTACAGCAGATAACAAGAACTTTCTAAAGTTTTTAAAGTATAAAGACATTTGTCTCAATTTTAAGGGTGACTAGACAAACAGATATACTAAGAAAGTATCTTTGTTGTGAAGATAAACCATCCCTGGCGTCGTGTTTCTTCTGGTAATACACACAAATTTACCAGGAAGTCCATTTGAAGAAACACATCAGTCATTTGAAGGATTTTTGCTGCGAATACCAAAACACTGCACAGTTAAGTTATCACAAGGAAGAATTTGAAGGACAGCTTTTTTGACAGGCACCAGATAAATGGCTTGAAGAAGGCCTTCGTGTTACTAGATAAGAATGTACAAGCTCATATTTAATTACCCAATGCACCAGCCTTGTAGGGTGGCTTTGCTGCAAAAGCTGAGTCATGAGCGACTGTGTTGCGGATGACCTTCTCTGTTTGTGTGGTTCTGGAAACATGTTGTTCTTGCTGTTGACTCCATTGACGTTGTTTTTGTCGGTGTCTGTGCAGAGATGGTAAAGTGTTTCATTGTTACAGATCAGGACAGAATTATTTGGCGAGATTTACAGTTCCACACGCACTGAAGCGTCCTCACTGCATAATACTTCCAGCACCGTGTTTCACTAAGGGGGGCGGTGTTCTTTGGGTTGATTGCCTTCTTTCTGTAAACATAAGCAGCGTCTAGTTCTAGTTTCGTCTCATCTGACCAAAGGATGTGCAATTTTCCAGTATTGCATAATCTTTCTCCAGGCTGCCTTAGCTATTTCAGTCTGGCTTGAAGGTGTCGCTTCTGAGAAGGGAAGTTTTTCTTCTTCTGTAGCCTCACAGTCCATTCCTGTGCTGGCTTCTAGTGACTGTCTTTTTTGAGACTACAATTCCCAGCTAGATTAAGTCATTCACTTGTGTTTGGCATTGGTTCTGGAGTCTTTAGGCATATCTCTCACTAGTTTCCTTTCCAGATTCTTTGAAATCTTTCACTTCCTGCCTCTCCTAGGCTTGTTCTGTCCTGTGTGGCTCACTTTGAATTTCTCGATGATACTTTGACTTCTTTTCCTGACACGTGGAAACGCTGTAATAATGTTTTGTATATGTCCTACTTTTTGAGCATCACTTCTTCTTTTTCTAAAGCCCAAAAATGCCAAAAAGTCTGTTTTTGGCACGATGCTTTCCCAAGTGACAGTTCAAAGACATGCTGGAGTTTTTAGACTGTTTAAATTGTAAAATAACTCTTAGTTTTAACTTGATTTTACACACTTTGAGCATTACAAAGGTAACACGCATCAGCTTTTGTTTACAGCTGGAGTTTTTGTATCATTGGGATCCAGTCAATTCTCAGTGTCAGTAACTAGCAGAATACTGTTGGCTGTAGGGCAGCGGGGCGTTTATTGTAAAATCTGACCCAGTTCCTTTGAAAATAAATCAATCTACAGGCTGTTGGAGCCAACCAAGAGAGTTGGGGAAGGTCTGAGTTAGTCACATCTGCTCAGATAGTAAAAACACACATATTAGATTAATTAAAGATTTGCCCAAGGACAGCCCTGTAATGCTACCCCTGGTTGGGGGATGCCCCTAACCAAAGTTTTGCTCTCATCCACCTTTCTGTTCTGCATCATCTCCGTTGACCTCTCTGTCTTGCTCTGACTGCTGACCTCCTTTTCTGTTTCGCCCGAGTCCCACACATGCCCGCACAGATGCCGGCAGGCCTCAGCTGAGCAGGCTAATCTCTTGAAGCGTTACAGAGCTGCTGGGAATGTGCCCCGACCACACAAACGCGGGCAACAGGGTCGCTGGGGTCCGCGCAGACCAACCCAGGCATGCAGAAACTAGTGGGTCAAATGGAAAGACAAATTGAAAATGACAGAGCCTCAGTCAGGCTAACAATGAAGTAGATTAAAGAAGCTAGAACATAATCTGAATGCTGACTTTATATGTAGGCTGAATCACATGCCTCGAAGGCACAAGTTTAACCCAGTTTTACGGTTCACGTTTAGTAGCAAATGTCAGAGCGAGAGTTGGTGGGCGTTCAGTACTTTAAATACTTCTCAGCAGGATACGTGGTTGTTGATGGACTCAGCTCTGGTTGCTGTGAGGATTTAAGCACCAGGTCAGCCAGCTTAGAAGAAATCAAGCTTAATTTGACTTGCCTTTATTTGGGGCTGTGTGTGGGTGTACACCTATAGTGTGTGCGTGGCGAGGGGGGTGGAGTTAATTAGTTGATTTAATTACCCTTAAACTACATAGTAATCTGAGGTTATATTCCTTTTATCAGGTGCTGAATCTAATGCAGATGAGGCAGCTCCCTCTGTTTAGTAAAACTCCCACAAGGCAGGCATACAAGTGCAAACAGCACCTGTAACCAGGTTACGCAGGTGTAGTTTGACCAAGGCCTCGTGAGCGTTAAGTAACAGGGGGATAGGTGTCTTTCAGTCCCAGGAGTAAATGAGTGAGTAAAGGATGGATGGAGGGCGACTGAGAGGAATGGCACATGGACGGCTGGGTTGGTTAAAGAAGGGAGAGTAATTTGATCCAGCTGAGGCAACAGGTGTGGGGTGAGTTTACACCCTTGTCCACTAGCAAGTGTGAAACCTTCATGAACTCTTTCTCTCTCTCACACACGCGCACACACACACACACACACACACACACATAAATAAATAAATAAATAAATGCAATCTCATACCATGGATAAAAACAAGACTGTGTTGTTGTTGCCAAAGAGACCTCTCTGTGACCTCCGCTCAGCAGACGGGCAAGATATGTTTAGGCGGAAACGTCAAACGCTGGCGAGAAATCTAAAATCTTATTTTGCTGAGGTGAGGTGGGGAAGAGATGGTGTAATAAGAAAAAGACTCGTCTCTACTCCTCAGAACAAATATAACTGGCTTGTCATAGAGGATTCAACCGCTACGCCGCAGTGGCTCATACAAATGCCACAGGGTACATGTGAATCAGGAGAGACAGTCATTCATTACAAAACACATCTGCCATTGTGAAAAACACAGAGTGACTTATAGTTGTGTCTGTAAGTATTTGGACATTGCCAGGTTTTTGGGGTTTTTTTTTTGTAATTTTGCCTCCTTTATGGGGTTTAATGGTTTATGAATTCCGTCCATTTGTATTCACAGTCCCATTGTCTGAGTCTCAAAACTATCTGGGCAGTTCACTGTCTATGTCAGGGGTGTCCAGCTCCAGGCCTCAAGGGCTGGTGTCCTGCAGGTTTTAGATGTGTCCTTGATCCAACACAGCTGGTTTAAATGGCTAAATGACCTCCTCAACATGTCCTGAAGTTCTCCAGAGGCCTGGTAATGAACTGATCATTTGATTCAGGTGTGCTGACCCAGGGTGATATCGAAAACCTGCAGGTAACCAGCCCTTGAGGCTTGGACTTCCCCACTCCTGGTCTATGAACTGTGAGAGCAGTAATGCTGACCCAAAATAGTTTGCCCATTAAAAAAAATAAATAAAAAGTAGGTGAAGGATGCTAAAGTCTTCCGTATAAACAATTGGTGCCACTTGTTGTTTTTTTCCACTTACGAGAAGTTGATCTCTTGTTTATGCAAAGTCCAGGAACTGCTAGCCTGCACTCTTAGCTTATCTTCACACTTCACAGCTAATTAAAGCAAAGCGACTTCCGCTGCACTTTTCGGTGAATGCGGCAGCTTCTCTCGCACACTTTAATTTCTGTGGAGTGTGAGGCTGCTGTTTGCTGTTGAGCGATGTGTCAAAGAACTTTTAGGAAGATCCAACTGCATTTACAGATTTGCTTGCCACGCTTCTCCTCTCTTCTCTTTGAAATGCACTACTGTACTTTGCACTTGGACTCTGAGGTGTGTCCAGTGTTGGTGAACGGCCTGAATGAGTCGGTGTAGTTTGATGATCAGTTTCAGCTTTGTGAATCTACATGACGTGTTCATCCTGCTGCAGGCTTTAATTCTTATGGTAGTTACAGCCAGAATATCAACCAGAAATCTGGGGAAAAAACACATTACGTAAAAGTTATAAATTAATTTGCGTGTCACTGAGTGGGAAAAAAACCCCAAGCAAAACACGACTCAGTATTTGGTGTTTTTGGTGCTGTGGTCCCAACTGCCTGCAGATCATTAACAAGGTTCTCCCGTGTAGTGTTGGGCTGATCCACCATGTTTCTCATGATCATTTGTAACCAATTGATCGATATGATTGTAGTCAGTCTGTGGTAGCCGGAAATGTGGGGACCTAATACTTCTTTAGAGAATGTTTATCTCTTTAAGAGTGTGCAAATAAGCTGCATTAATCACCAGTATACTGCGCTCTCATTGGTAGCTGTTTCAACTGCTCATCTTGAGGCTGAGATAAAGTTTTTCTCAAAATCTGCTCGCTTCTCATCACTAATAGATTATGTTCTGCTCCTACTTTCTGTGATCTGAGGTTATCATGTCACTGTGAATGCTTCCTGTGTGAGGATGCAGCTTAATGTATAGAGAGCTTAGATTTTAGATTTCCTCATTCCACAAAAAATCCCCAGAAATAAAGTCCACTTTTTACAGATCCCTACCTCCCAAAGGAAACTTGAACCAGCCGTACTCAACCTGCTTCAGAAATTCGATCACAAACAACAGTTAAACGACGGAGGTGAGTGAGACGAGAAGTGGAAGAGGAACTTTAGGAAAGGGGAAGGAGGCTGTTGAGTCAATAGCGGCAGCTGCGGTGTTCCAGTGTGGGTGGCAGCCAAAGAAGCACAGCTGGGCCAGGGGACATCGCGCTGAGGCTGGTAGCAGAGCTTTTATAGCAAAGCACACACAGCCGCACATCCTCACTCAGCAAACACAAGGATAACACAGCAAATGACTTCTCGCCCGCTTGTTGCAACAGGTGGACGACTGTTTCAACACGCGCGCACACACCCGGCGCTGGCAGGCAGCTGCCCAGCGACAGATTCTGCTCCTTATTGTTGGCAAGGCCATCTCCCCTGTGCACTCGAAAGGCAGCGCTCCCGCTTTGTGTTTTCTCCAAGTGTGCGTGCGCGCGCCCACACCGACCACCCCGTCCTTTGTCCCTTCGGCATTTCTTATCAACTCTCATTCGAGATGTTGCGGATTAGCGGGGTTAAATTTCACCAGATCCCAAACGAGAATCATTGTGGAGCATCTGGCAGCCCACCGTACAGTATCTCCCCTTTTATTTACCACCGCTCCACTCTGCCCAGGGGGGAGGTTAGCGACTGCAGAAGGGAATTGTAGGAGGGTGCTGAGAGAGATAAAAACACAAAGTAAGGAAACAGATAGTGTCAACAGGAGGGCGCAGAATGCCCACTGCTGAGGTGAAGTAAATATTAGAGAACCTGAAGGCGAGATCGCCTACTCTGCATCTGGTGCAGGTACGCCAGGTGACACTTGCTGCCGCCGCCACCTGCCTGGTATTGTGCCGCCAACACAAAAGACTTACCTCCACACTCACATGCAGGAACCATGCAAATAGAATCAGAGGCTTTGATTAACAGTAACTGCTGTTTGACAACACACAGACAAGCCCGACTGAGTTGAGGACAAAGTTTTGAGGATAAGTGGTGCACACAGATAAGAGGAGGGGAAAAAACTCATGCTGTGAAGCCAAATGATGCAGGTGCAGGGTGAGATTCTGCTATTAAGGAGCCTTTTGTTTGTTTTTGCATTTGAACCTTGTGTCAGATTAATTTAAGCACAGCTGGTCTCAGCATGAAAGAATAAAATATGTCACGTGTTTAAATCGCTGACTGCAGATTAAGCCTACAATATGCAAATTTCACCCAGTGGCAGTTGAACTGCAGTTTGTACCAAGAGTGAATTGTAAGTGTAGAGCTGCCGGGTGTGGCTGTATGGGGACTCATTGTTCCCACACACACACACACAGCGCCACAGTCAGTCCTCTGACAAAGTCAACACTGTTAGTCATACAGTCAGGACTCTGTGTCTCTCTGTGATAATGGAGGCCCAGACGGCTCCCAGTGGAGTTCAGTCTATAGGATGTCTGCTGCCCTCATATCCACAGTTGACTTTGTGTAGAAAGGATTAAGACATAATTGAGTTGGCAAACAGCGCTTTATAGGTTAATGGGATTCGCTTACCTGAGAGTGTGAGCTTAACACACATATATTCTAATCAGACTTTGAGTTACCAAAGTTGGAAAACCAGAACAACCCCAGATTCACGCGTTCTGTAGGTTGTCCAGTTTGCCTAATTTAGAATAAGTTTTTCTAACCTCTAACTAACTGGGAACATAATGGAGTGGCTACAGAGATGATGTGTTATATATTATTCCTTTGTGTTTAATGTGTCGACAGTCTAACGTTTATTTTTTTTTAAATTGCATTCAATGTAAAAATGATATGCATTGCATGCAGAAGTATGCAATGTGGTTTTGTTGTGTTTTGATGGAAAAAAGGGAAACGGCTGCAGTGACTGTGACCTGCAAACATGCAGGGTAATGCAGTATATGAGGCAAAATCAGAGGTTGCCAGTGGTTGAGGTGAAAAGCAGACATTGTCCAAAGTGTTGAGAGAGCTCCAGAAAGCCTGGAGAACCATTTCCTCGAAACCACTTTAAACAATTACACGAATGTCTGGCTCCTTGGAAGCAGATTTTTTTTATTTATTTATTTTTAATGGAAGGATTTTGCACAGTACTGTACATTTGACCCATTCATTAACATTTACCGCCATCCACCATGTTTTTCTGTAAGCTTGGCAACTTATAGACAAAAATGTTCTCCGGCTTTCCGACTTGTCGTTCCGGGCATTTTCGCAAATTTTCCCTCTCAGCCAACCGAACCGAACATGAAGGCGCAAAAGCACAACCAAATCCCCGAGCTGTAAGCTGTCGAGTTGTATTCTGGGTAATGTAGGCTCCAGTTTTTAGCATGAAGAAGGTTAGAAATAAGGTTCTGCTGCACCTGCACGTTTGTTCAGTCATGGTTGCTGCTGTCTCGTCTGGAGTCAGGTTGGTTTCTTTTCGCTGCGTCGTGTCTGAGTACAGCCTCAGAGTTTGCGCCTCTCTCGTGCATTCAGACCGCAGTTGTAACCTTGATTCCTTGAAAAGATAACCATCTAGCTAGCTTTGAATGTCATTTAAAACCCTGTCTGTTTGTATTTTCTAACCATCTGGAGGAAAAACTCTTTAGTACAATAAAAGGAGAAAGTGAAGACAACTTGTGTGACAATGTGTCGTAATGTGCACTGACACGAAAGAGTCAAAAAATGGAGCTCAGACTCTTTTTCTTTTTTTCTGTTTTCCTGCTCATTTATTTAATCATTAAAAAGTTGCATCTGTTAGAAGTCACTCTCTGCAAGTTGCACCGATCTAAATTTCCACGGTACGCCTTGAAGGGCAGCGGCTCTGGATGCAGGCGAGCGCTGGGATAGACAGAGAGACGAGCGGGGCAAGGTCTGGTGCTGCCGTTGCGTTCCCGAGGCCTGGCCCGGAGACTGCTGACTGATGCAAAATAGAAACACGGGGGTGGAAGAGTTTGAGGGTGAGACAGTGAGTGAAAGCTGAAGCGAGACTGATGGCGGGAGAGAAAGAGAGACGGCGCACAAGACACGAGGGTGGGAGGAAGGAGGGGGGAGACATTATCGAGCCAGTGTGAGTCAGCAGGTTGATGGAGCTTCAGGGTGCGGCTCCAGCACATCGCCGCTCCTGTGCGTTACCCAGTTTGAACTGGCCTGTCTCAGCCGTTGTAGTTTGCAGACAGACCCTCCGGAGCTTCATTGTTTTATTTATTTATTTATTTATTTATTTATTTATTTATTTGTGTACAATGAGCACTGTCACTGTCAGAGGTCTGAAAGTTTTTTTGTCAAGGCTTTTTTCCCCTCCACCTGTTTATTAAAAATAAATCGTTGGAAACACTGAATCCAATATCAAATCAAGTCCTCGTTGTCCTTGTCAAATGTATAAGTGTGTGTTTTTGACCTTTCTGTGTGTATGTGTGTACAGGACCAGGGGACAACATCCCTGCAGTGTATGGCCTGGATGTGACGGACGTGTCACGGTGGGAGGAGACGGTGCTGGACCCTGCACTGCAGATACTGGACAGCCTCAGTAAGGTGGGGCCTCAGCAGTCTAAAGTGGCAGCTTCCTGTTGGCTGCTTTCATCTGGTGCTGTGGAATCTTTCTCTTTTACTTCAGTTCCTTTCGCTACTCTTTATCATTCTTTATCTTTTCATTGCGTACTTTGTGGTTTTACATTTCCTTCCTTTCATCCTTTTGCCATTAGTGTGTTCCTCTCCTTGTTTGCTCTTATTTATTCCTCCTTTTGAGCATATGCCCTTCTTCCTTGGATTTGCCTTATTTGGGCTTTTTTTGTCCCATTTTTATTAATTTTTCCTTTCTGCGATTTCCTAATTCTTTTTTGTCCTTCAGTTGTCAAAGGGCGATGGCGTGTTGTTGCCACACCGCCAGGCGGGTGGTGTGGACACCCGAGTTTGTGAATAATATAATTTGAGAACGAGGCAACGTAGAATTTTAAAATTGACATCACGGATGAAACTATTAAAGATGTTTGAATCTCAGTGACCTCGATGTCAAAGTCTAGTTTGTTCTTTGGTTGAAAAAGGAAAAAAGGCCTTTGTTTGTATAAAATTGTCTTCTGCAACACGTTTGCTGTTAGCCGAATTTAGGTTACTCGTTTGCTTGTGATATTTAGCATTACCAAACTGCTTGTTTTTCCACGGTTCACCCATCCCAGTGAACTCCACTTGTCAACCATTCAGCATTCCGTAGACTCATACGTCTCTCCATTACAAGATCTCGGAGGATCACACAATCGGGCACATTTATGGGACCATAAATCATGCTTTACTCTGCTGCCTATCCGATGTTCTGCTTCCATTCCCTTTTTTGTTCCCTAAAAGTTTGTTTTAGCACATCATAAATATTTTTTTCAGATTTAAAACCTTAAAAAAAACCAGACTTTTTTCGCTCCACTTCTCAGCATGAGGAGCCAGCTATTGCACCAGTCAGAGCGCAGGGGGCGGAGCAGAGAAACAAGCGGAGCCACCACACGTGTGACCTGTGTGACAAAGTGATCATCGGTGACCTGGAGTGGACAGGTGAGGCATAAGCATGTGGTGGGGAAAAAAAGCTGAATGTGAATATAGACGTTTGCTAACGATACTAACATGTTCATCAAAGCACCGAGGACAAGCAAACTGAGAAGTACTAAAGAAGTCGTACCATGTTATGTATTTGACTGTTTAGCGCTGCCTTAAGATTCTGTGGAGATTCATGCCCAGTGCCAAAAACAGATTTCTTTTCTCTACATGCTCACCTGATCACCTCTGGGCCCTGTTGCACCAAGTCTTGTGACTTGGCCTCTTGGTGACTTGGTCTGTTTCTCTGTCTGTCTTGCTAAATATATCCAAGGCGTGTCGTTTATCCTCTGTACCCGCAGCTCACCTGAAATCCAAGAAGCATCACTATCATGTGAGGAAGAAGAGGAAGTGCGATCCATCCTGTGACCAGTCGCAGAGGACCAGCGCACCTTCCGACTCTGCAGCAGAGACTCTTTTAAAAGACTCTTGTGATACTGTTGCTCCGGGCAGCAGTGATCAGGACTCTTCTGGGACGACACATGAGGAAGTACCAGTGACTCTTTAAAAAGCCTGCACTGACTCTGATCCACATCCATCTTCACTCAGGTCTCCATCCAGTACTTATATGATTAATTCCTGGTTTCCATAGGATCGAATTTATTTATTAATTCCTGAATTCCAACAAAAAATCCCTCCTTCATAGATGCTGAAGCCCTCGAGCTTCAGGTTCTTGCAGCATTTTTTTTTTCTTTTTCTTTCCAGTAGCAACACAGACCGAAGTGAATGAAGTACATGATTTATGGCGTGTGCAGGCAAAGAATAAAAAAAACAAATCATAATTTATTTTTTAACACTGCCTGAAAATCTAATGTAAATTTTAAGAGAGGTTTATTTTTCTATTTTTTAAGACTGTGCTGTATATACCACTGCTATGGACTCTCTAGTTTGTCAGCATTTCAGGCTTCAGGACAGATTGTTAGTATTAGGCCCGGTCACCTTTATTTCAAATAAACTCCCAAAGTTTTCTCAGCTCATGCTCCGAACCTGTAATCTTGTGACATAAAATATTTTATTATTAAACATATTTTTATTAAACTGGAAAAAAAAGTCTCTTTTTGGAATTTCCCAAACTTTATAGAGAATTCAATTGAAATGAGCACTCAGAGCGCGCACTAACAATGAAGGTCAAGGTCAAATGCTTAGCCAACATAGATACTGTTGTCTGCTGAGGCCTAGTGTATTGGTGTGAAGTTGGTAAATGATCCATAAAAAAGATTGTGGGTAATATGAAGTTTTTGCTGATTTACTGGTTTTGGGGTCTACCATCACGCAAAACTTGAAGATGATATCTTGAAAACTGTGGATGCTACACCGTTACAGACAAACAGAACTAATTACATACACGTTTAGGGGGCGAAATCGGGGGGACACGGACTTAACGCTATAGCATTGACAGTAAAGACAGCTGTGGACCTCCAGCCTCCACCCACTGTGGAAGACAGAGCCAAGCTGCAGCAGACTCGGGTCTTTTAGGAGACTGCAGCCATGCAGAGACCCTGATGGACTGCCAACCAACTCACACGTCACCCCATGTGGTCAGGTGAGAGACCCTCGATGACATAACGAGTCCTTCCCCAGGTTTACCTGACGATAACTTCTTTAGTTGATCGGACGCTCTCCTTCTCTCATCTTGGCTCGAGTTTGGACTTTTGGGAAAGAAGCATTTGGATCCCAATTATGTTGTTTTCATAATCCTAGGAAGTCTAAATTATATTTATCCAAGTGACGGTGCTTTTATGCCACTCAAACGAGAAGTAGAAAGCACAAAATTGGATTTCAGGGGTCTCTCGATGTGACAGCAGCAGTTTAACCTTGGTCTCATTGAGCTCTCATCGGCCTGCTGACACAGCACTGAGCTTGGTCCTTTGTTTGCCGGCTGCCACCTCATTTTACACTCATGAAATATGTTGTTTCTGGTCTTTTGTTCACTAGTCACCTGATTGGCGTGGTTTATCTCCTGAGTGGAGCCCAGCCGAGCTCATTTCAGCCCTGACGATGGTGTAAACCACCAGCAGGTCAGGCTGTGAGAGGAGTGTGTTTTCACAGCGGTGATTGCAGGTCTTTGTTTATCCGGCAGCGTGCCGTACCGCTTTCAACCCGAGGCGTGTCTTCCCCCCGCTGTAAAGCCACAATACCTGGCATCGCTCCAGAGGCTTTCTTTGGCGGTGCTTTTCCGTCTCCTCACCTTGCTCTGCGTTAACGCTCTCTGTCTTTAAGTTTTCAGTTCTGGTCTTACAGTCTGAGGAATTGCAGAGTTTAGTTCACAGGCTCCCAAAAGTTGACCTCATCCACATGGCTAAAAATATTTCCAGCAGCATAATAGCTGGAAGTGTGCGTCTGTCTGCGTGAGTTGTGTTCCACATTCTCTCTCTTTCCAAACTGGGTCAGGCCTCCAGCTTACTGGGGTATTACCATACAGTACGGGAGTCACAGTGATAGCAAAGGTCACTGTACGGCTCGTGTCTGGTTTTTATAACCACTCCTCTGTTTGGATGGTTTGTTTTTCTTTCCTTCTGTTGTCCATTTCGAATCAGCTACGGCTCTATTTTTTTCCACTGCAGTACTTTTTTCATCTTGGTGATCTCTGTAATGACAAAAAACCAACAAGAGGGATCTTTGAATGAGGAAAAAGCGTTACTGTCAGGCATCCAACGTGCTGTTAAATGCCTCGCATTTTCTTTAGTAATTTTACACATGGTGTGTAGTTATCTTGAGTGGCTCAGCGAGTCTGGCTTGGCACCTCCAAGCACCACTGAATCACCTCACATTTAAGAGCCAAGCTTGCGCAATTCGGTGACATAAAGCACCTTGACTGGAATGCCAGTATCCACAGTCACAAGGCTAATTAGCGATGTGCACACTGTGAAGCAACGTGTCATCGATGCACGCACTGAATGAATAAAGCTTTGAAACAGGCTGGGGTGGTGGTGTACTGCAGCTGTAGCTGCCACCCTTCTTCTAAATCTACCCTATGTATGTGCATGTGTTTGCATGCATAGCTGCATCAGTTAGTGAGCCATACAATGATTCTCCCAGTTTCAGCACTTTTCTGCTTCTCCCTCTCTCTGTCCAGTCCTCACCATAGCCAGTCAGTATTTTTAAATGCTCTGAGCACATACCGCCCCATACATTAGGCCCAGTATAGGGGAACTGTACATGCGGTAGCCTAAAGATGTCCATTGGTCTGGCCTGTTCACCTTGGGGCCTTGGCCTTTAGTACTCCATATACTGCCTCCTGCGTGGGCTGTAAATCAACAGTATAAACCAGACTTCACACAACCTCACGCATTGGTAGCCTGACTCTCCAGAGCAGAGCTGATATTAGCCTGCCTGACAGCTCAACAGAAAGAGATTCTAAACAGTTTACCAAAGGTGGAGGCTAAGTATGTTTCCATGCTAGTTGTTCATAAGCACCTGCAATTGGCCACCTCGAATAATACCCATGAAAACATTTTGATTGGTCTATTTTTCTTTCAAGCAGTAAGTGCATTTTTACCGCTGAGGTACTGTTAATTTCAGTTTCTAGACCAACCAAACTCTTCGATTAAGGTGCACTCCATCTGTACTGTTAAGACACTGAAAGGGGGCTGCTGACAATTTAAAGGAGGGAAAGACAAGGCTAGGAAACTTTAAATACAATGTTTGGGTTTCTTCAAGGCCTCTCTCCACTAATTGGAGTCATTGAAGTCATTGAACTGGACATCTCAACCGTGTTTTTGCTGCTAGTACCTTTTAGAGCATTATTACTGGAATTATCTGACAAATAACCCGGCTTTATCAGCGCTACAGGCAGGATTCTGCTTCACATTTGATGACTGAAAATGTTGTACTTCATTAGGCTGTTAGCAGTAATGAGCAGGTAGGGCTGCTCGACTATGGCAAAAATGATAATCACGATTATTTTCACTGAAATTGAGATCTCGATTATTTGACAATATTTATTTAACAATAACAATGTAGTGTTTAAAGATTGTCAAAAATAATATAAAATAGTGTGCAAATACTGATAACAGTGCAAATGTTTGCAATATAAAAAAAAATATAAAAAATCTATGTTTAGTGAACTTTTCAGTGTAGCTCTGTGGTGCAGCTACGACACCGTAGCAAAGTTACACACTATGTCTACTTGATCCACGTCTGACTCCGCGAACCCATAATGTTTCCACACCACTGAAGTTTTTTTTTTTTTTAACCTCTCTTTTCAACCAACGACAGTCACTCTCTCCTCTCCAAATAACTTCTGCTTAGCTTTCCGAGCTTCCCTCGGGTCCTCTTAATTGTTGTGACGCGTGTTCGAAACGCAGAGAGGTGCGCTCGATTTGCTACAGGAGCAGTGCGAGAGTAAAGCACGAGGGAGGTGCTAATAATCGGCTCAGTCATTTTTAATGATCGTTGAAAGCCCAGATCGTAATTTAGATTAAAATTCAATTAATTGAGCAGCCCTATGAGTAGGTGTCTGTGTTTTGCAGTACTTTCTGGATGCAGATGTTAATCAAGTTTGCTAGCATTAGCCGATAATTTAGCACTGGTCCTCACGTCAAAATGTAGCTCTACAAAACCAACATGGTGGTAGATGAACTGCTAACATCAAGGCCTCACTTGCGCAAGCTTAGAGACTAGTCACGATCCCCTGGCAACCTCCAGTCACAAGGTAAAAATGAGTATTCTCCAACTGGTTTAAGAGTGGTCGCTGGTTGTTGCTAGGCGAAATTGGGCATTAGGCTAATTAGGTACCTTAGCTAAAAGCTTTTAGAGGTAAAAGCTTTTATCTAAGGTACCTAATTAGCCTAATGCCCAGTGCTTAGGACCAACAGTGGGTCAACTGGAGTTAGATTGGTTTCCCAGCTCATTCCTGCGGCACTTTCTGTTGGTGCTTTTCACCTATAAATAGAAGCGGCCTGTTTTCAGTCTGTATGCTAAGATTAGCTCCAGGCAGTAGCTGTTTAATTAGCATAGCATAGAGATAGCTATGTGACTATTCTCAAGGAACTTCCTAATAAAAGAAATTGAGTAAACTTTCCTTTGATGATTTCTTGTAAAGTAACTGTGATACTGTCTTTTTTACCAGTCAGACCTTTATTTTTGATCATTCTCCTCATTAATTTTTCTAGTTTGTCCTCTAATTGAGCTCAATGGACGTCTGTATTTGAGCTTTGTGGGCTTCTCAGAGCTCTGCTTGTAGTAGTGTGTCACCCAGTGACTGTGCATCTAGGTAATTTGAAGTCCACCTAATCCTAATCTCTAATCCCGTTTGACTAAACATTCTCTGCCATCTGGCTCTGGCGAGACGAAAAAAAAATGCTTGCACGTATCTACACAGGCAGACATGCAAGCATCTAATCAGATAGGTGGTAGCCAAAGTCACTGTTGAAATGAAGAGAAATATCAGTTCTGCTTGTGCGGAGAATTCTTGGAGATACCAGAGAAGGCCGAGTCTTTGCCGGGGGGGGGGCAAAATAATAGATACCACACAGCCTTTTTAATCTCGTTTTGTGGCGTGTGAAGGACTTGTCTGAGAATGTGTATCTCTTTTGTTGACACTATAGGCGCAGACGGTTAAAACCAGCAAAAGGTCAACTATCAGGCGGTGAGCCGCTCAGTGTGCGAGCAGAGAAGATGCTAGGAGCTCACATTTGTAGCCTTTGACATCTTTTTTCTCTATAAAGATCAGTATGTGTGTGTTTGTGAATCCCTGCTTGCGAGCTGGGGCCACACTGTTTCCATGCATATAAGGATGAGGACAAAGGGAGTTTCACAAACCTGTGAGAAACACAACACTGCAAGGTGTGACTCGATAAGATAAAAGCGTATTGTGTTGTTCTGTGTGTGTGCGCGTGCACGAATGTGTTAGTCTTGTTTTCTATTACAAGTACCACAACAAAATGCAAGGCAGTCGCTTCTTACCTCTGTGGCTACTGCATGTGTTTGTAGCTCCTGCAGTATAGGTGTAATAATTGCGTGTTTGCACCTGTATGCATTATGAATTGCACACACATGGCCAGAGCTACTCAGTGAGGGATGAGTGTTGTTGCAGCCTAATCCTGAGATGCTGTTTTATAACATTTCAATGTGATGTATGCATCCAGAGCCAAGTGCAGACATCATTTATTTATGTGTGTGTGTGTGTGTGTGTGTGTCTATAGGGAGGAACTAGGTTCACTGAGTTCATGCAGCTCTCTCTCTCTCCTCTCTCTCCGTCTCTGTGTCACACTGTCTGGTTCCTGTAGTGGTCGCAGTACACGAAAGAGAGACAGAAGGAAAGGGAGAGGAGGAGATGTGATAAGATGTGAAAAGCCTTTAAGGAAAGTGTCATAGGTGCAGCTTATGCATGGCTCCCTATAGTCTCTCTGTCTGTCCTCTCTCGCTCTCTGCTGCATATTTCCTGTCTTGGTTATGTAATGCGGGGGCTGCTCTGTACTTTTTTCCTTCTCCTTTTTCTTCTACCCTCCCCAGTGCAGAGCATGACATGCCTTCCTGTTTTTCCAGCAACCCAGTGAACTCTTTTCTTTTTTTCCCAGGGCAGTGCTTGCCCATTTTCTATTGTTACGTATTGTATGCATGGTGCTCTTATTTTAGATAAAGCTGTTTGCACTTGATGTATTGTGTCTGGCTGGACTCATAAATGTCTCCGTCCTCACACTTCTTGGGTCTGTGTGTGTGTGTCTCTCTCACTCTTCTCCACACTGCTGTCCATCTTTCCTCTCTTTTGTGTGTCTGTCCACTTACTTTTCACCTTTGCTCTTAGGCAGGAAATGGGTGTGCTGGCTCATAAAGGACTATCAAAGCAGCCTAATTCTCAGTTATGTGTAAGCATGCGTGTTTGTGTGCTTATTTTCATTGGACGTATCTGTGCACTGGGAGCAATGTTCTCTCTGCAGTGTACAGAGTGTGAGACAAAGGGTGTGTGTGCGCGCACATTGCCATTGTCAGTGAGTTAAGCGCTGTAGCCGGCTTTTTCCCGCCAGTGCGGTGTTTTGTGGGAGGGGTTTTGGCTGCGCTCAGCAGCAACAAAGAGCCTCCGCTTCCCGCCTGATATGCAAATAGATGTGAGGTGGGCGGAGCTGGGAGCCTCCCCTAATGCAGAGCTTAACGCTTTCACTGCCAGGGTGAAGGTCAGTCGGTGCATTGTATTAAATCGTCCTTACTCTGCCCACCAGGACTCTGTGACAGCATAGGGCTGCACCTACTATCTTAAATGAACAGTCTTTACTTTTAGTCTGAATACTATACAACAAGTTATTTAACCCATTGTGATCAAAGGTCTCTGTGCTGGAATATTGTCTGGCTTTATATATACACTCAACTTTCTCCTTTATTGGACTTGTGGACTTTCCTGGTTGTTCATTAGGAGGACATAAACACAGCATTAATTGTACAACTGCAACCATGCACAGCTTGACCATCAATGAGCAGACAAGCAGTGTAGTCGAAGCTTTTGGGGATTCAAGGCCAATTGTTCTCTCTTCCAAAGAGGAGCATCAGCTAAAGCTTGTTGATCTTAGAGTTTGGAAAGTCTAATCTCTGATTTTGCAACTTTATTTAAAGATTTGTGTTCTGTGTTCATTTGTAAATATGACTTAATTTACTCAACTTACTCCTGTGTGAATCCTTTTTTATTTTGATTTTACTGACATCTCCATGCTTTCGGATTTACCAGTGAAGTGGTCAGTGTGGTGAGATCATATTCACTCATGGCCACAAAGATAAACATGTAGCTGTTGATCTGAAATTGGTGCAAATTTAAAATACAAATAATAATATATAAACTTTTAAACCTGCGCTAATTATAAGTTAAAGAGTTGGAACTCTAGTATTAATTTACAAGTGTTGTAAAACTGTGCTATTGTATGTCTGTGTGTGCATATGTGTAACAGCACATGGCTCTTTTATGTAAGTGTGTTATAAAACCCAGTGTAACATTAGATGGCGTGTATGCCAATAGCAGCTGTTGTACACGTACACACACACACATGTGCGCTCCTTCACACGCCACTTCATGCAGTTCCTATCAAAGCGCCTTATTATATGAAGACGTTAAACATATTAAGCACAACACACACATACTTCACAACTCTAAAATATTTTGTTTCAGTATATTGAAATATCATTTTTTGTTTTTGATCCTGTTTGTATTGGCGGATCTTCTAATACCTCTACTAACTTTAATGAGAGCCATAATTTGCAAAATGATCTTCTTAGCACGATACAAATCACTGAGACTTGAATCTAGCTTTTTTTTCTTTTCTTTTCTTTTCTTTTTTTTTTACATCATAAAGTCATCGGGTCAGTGTTTACAGGGGGCACGAAGCAGAGGGGTGTTTTACCCATAGAGTTCTCTAGATTCCCCCTACTGCCTGTTAGACAGAGTTGAGCATTAATGCAACTCAACATTGACTTCTTTTACATCCCACTATGTGTAACTCGCATATACAGCCTGTAGTCCTAGTAAGGTCCGGGGCGACTGTGCATGGTCAGCGCAGCTTAAAAATGTCTCCTGGCATTGATTGTCCGAGTTTCAGGATGTCTCTTGGCAGGATGAAACATCCGTCTAGGAATACAATGAACGTAGCTGCATTGCATTCTGGTCCTGATGCAGTCACTGCAGCTGCTTTCGGTTCCACCAAATGCACCACGGCGCATTTTTATAAGCATCCCTGGAAGGTGTGCTTTGCACAGAGCAGGCGGGAAGGGTGGGAAAATCAGACACGAGGGCAGCATTTTCAAAATAAAAGACCCTGTGCAGATTCAGCATACTGCTTCTGAGTTGCTCTTGGTGCGATTCAGCACAAAGACGTGCATGTTTTCCAGAGGTCAGTCTCCTAAAGATTTTCTCTGATTCTAGGTTTTTGATGACAGTGGTGGAGAGCACTGACTTACACATTGGTCCAAAATCTCCTATCTGGGTCAAAGTTTGCACACTCTACATTTAGATGGGGACAGTGTTATCCTG